GATAAGAGATAATGCAATCAAGGTTTTTGCATCTGAAGGGTTAGGACAGAAATAATACAATTCCTTGATTTGAAAATAAAGGCCAATGAACTGAATAGGCTTCTCAATAAATACGTCAAACTATGTTACTGTAATTTAAGATAATCACATGCACATTACTTTACACCATGCAACTGATCAAGCCCATCCATCTCATTTTCATAATTCAATTAAGTAGATATCACTTAATGCTATTCTATTTTCAAGCCTTTACTAGCTAGTGATAGAAAAGTTTGAAATCTGATATAGTGGAGTTTATCATAAAATTTGTTACTGCAGCACCTAAACCTAGCTGATAAACTAAGCTGTTTATCAGCTAGCAGAATGTAAGAACCAAAATGTTTTTTAATGTAAATCAAGTTTGTGCTAGTATCTTAGGATCAATATGCTTAGTTGATTATGTAAAATATTCATCCATTTCATTTCCATACTAAAGATCAGTAAAGCTGCAATACGATCTTCATTTTATTATCTCCCAAACTATTTTATTTCCAGCCAGTTCTGAAAATTCAATACATAAAAGTGAAGATGAAACCAGAGTAGACAAAATCCACTGATAAAATTGCAACAAGATTTTCTTATTCACATTACTTTAATTAACATAAAATTCCATATACATAATCAATGACAACCCCAGTATCATTTTTATTATGTACATACATTCTAAGATGCAATAACTTTAAGGACTATTTCAGAATACTTTATAAGTTTTTAAAAGATCCTGTAAGAATGAAAGGGAGAAATAAAGAATGGATAAATGTGTTTCTGAGACAGTTTTACAGAAAACTTTTATTTTATGCTTTGCTCAAAGTTTATAGAAACTGTTTCAAGGGATGATTTTAAAGCTATTTTAAATAATAGCTATTAAACTTCTTAGAACACTTAAATGTTTATTTGGAACTGAACAAGTGAACCTGAAAGTACAAAATATTGAAATATATATCATAGTTTAATATTCTTCTCCTTCTTCAGCTTCAGCTTCCACAGAATCAACACCAACTTCTTCATAATCTTTTTCAAGTGCAGCGAGATCCTCTCGGGCTTCAGAAAATTCTCCTTCTTCCATTCCTTCCCCTACATACCAATGCACGAAGGCTCTCTTAGCATACATTAAATCAAATTTATGATCAAGGCGAGCCCAAGCTTCTGCAATTGCAGTAGTGTTACTCAGCATACATACAGCACGTTGCACCTTAGCCAAATCTCCTCCTGGTACCACAGTGGGTGGCTGATAATTGATGCCTACCTAAAGGAAGGCAAAAAATTCATTACATTTCCCTCAATAGTGCAAGGAATTTTCAAATCCGAACTTTTTCTCTCCCTGCCTTTCCTCCTCCCCAAGAATTTTGTGAATAAAAGCATAATGGGAAACAAAAAATTAGACATGAATCTTTGAATCAGAATGGGAGCTGGAGACAGAGAATGTATTCACATATACCTCATAAAGAAAAAGAAAACCCCTAATCTATGCAAATTGCCTCATTTTTATCATGAGATACATAATAAATGGAATTAATAAATGGAATTTATACATAATTTATATATAATAAATGGAATTAAGGTTTAATTCTCTTAAATATACTAAAGCTCTAATAAGCAGACCAGCTTTCATTTAGAATAGATTATTTATTTATCCTGTATGATTGTACCAGCCTAATAACTGAAAAAAGGCAATTTGGTGTGTAGCACTTATTTATTGAATTTATTTGCCACCCATCTCATAATGAAATGACTCTTCATGTAAGGATATGATTTACTTCACCGAAAGCCAGCTGGATGATTTTGGTTAGTCACTCTCTCACACGTTTGCCACCTCCAGTTATTTTAAAAATCATAAAAGAATTTAAAAAGTCGACTCAAGTATCATAGGAAACTCTAAATTTGGCACCACACAAACATTAATAAATGCTGATCAACATTTTCAGAATTGCGAAATATATCATCTGATCTGGGCAAGAAAAATATTACTGCTGTATTCACATCTGCCACAAAATCCCTCCATTTGGAAACAGTTATCAGGTAAATGCAATCTTATTCATATATTATTAGATTATATTTTTATCCTGCTTTTATTACTTTTATATTAGGAAGTTTCCACCCAAATCATTGGAATTCACTAAGATTTACCCCATGTTTATTTACATTCGACAATATAGTACCTTGAATCCAGTTGGACACCAATCCACAAACTGAATTGTGCGTTTTGTCTTGATTGTTGCAATAGCTGCATTGACATCTTTTGGCACTACATCACCTCTGTATAGCATGCAACATGCCATATATTTACCATGCCGAGGATCACATTTTACCATCTGATTAGCTGGCTCAAAACAAGCATTAGTAATTTCAGCCACTGACAACTGCTCATGGTATGCCTTTTCAGCTGAAATGACAGGAGCATACGTTGCCAAGGGGAAATGGATTCGTGGGTAAGGAACAAGATTTGTTTGAAATTCTGTCAAATCTACATTCAGAGCACCATCAAAACGTAGTGAAGCTGTGATAGAAGATACAATTTGACCAATGAGACGATTGAGGTTGGTGTAAGTAGGACGTTCAATGTCAAGATTGCGTCGACATATATCATAAATAGCTTCATTATCCACCATGAATGCACAGTCAGAATGTTCCAATGTGGTATGTGTGGTAAGGATAGAATTGTAAGGCTCCACCACAGCAGTAGATACTTGTGGAGCTGGGTATATTGCAAATTCCAGTTTGGACTTTTTCCCATAGTCAACTGAGAGCCTTTCCATTAGCAAAGATGCAAATCCAGAGCCAGTACCTCCACCAAAACTATGGAAAATAAGGAAACCCTGTAGACCAGTACACAGATCAGCCTACAAAGACAACCCCCAAAACCCAATAAAAAGTGGTCATTGAACAGAATACTTAATTTCAACAGTATAAATTTAACATGCAGATATTATTTGCTACTATATTCAATTAAAATATTTGCATTAATACCCTTCAGTCAATTAAAATTAAATTTAAAAAGTCAGTATAGTATACATAGTTCTAAAAATGCATTCCTTACTTAAACAGATCAAATATTTTTTAAACATGGTACTTTTGAATAAAAAACTAGAATTTCTATGCTCCTGACTTTAAAATGGTAAATTTTAAAATTTCAGTTTTATTTGCAAGTATTTTCTAATTCACATCTTATAATGACTCACCAATTTTCGAATGCGATCCAGGACTAGATCCACAATCTCTTTTCCTATGGTATAATGGCCTCTAGCATAATTGTTAGCAGCATCTTCTTTTCCAGTAATGAGTTGCTCAGGATGAAATAACTGTCTGTAAGTACCTGTACGCACCTCATCTTTGAAGATTAAAAAAAAACCCAAAAACTTTGATTAATTCTAATTCAAAATCCATTGTTTTATTATTTCTAATAATATTCCACAAACTCAGAAATAATGTATTTAATAGAATAACAGAGTTGGAAGGGATTCAGCTGTTCTAATTACTTGTTAAGCATATGTATTATGTTTTTACATTATCCAAAACCATTACAAACTTGAGAATACTTCAGATACTTATGAGATCAATTCTGGCTAATATTTCTGAACAAAAGATAGGATTTCTTTTTGCAGGAATTAAAATAAACCATAGACAGAGGACTCTCAGCATGAAAAGATGTGTTAGTTCACTTCTGATGACTATATGGCTACATCAAGGTGTTTTTTCTTGTTAAGAAAAGAACTGTTATAAAACAGTAAACTGTGTACTTCTATCCTATTATTCTTATGAGAGGATAAATGAAATAACAATTGGATTTCATTTCACAAAGTAAATGTGTAAAGGCAATCTTAACTTAGTGGGGGATTATTTTACAATTGCTTTCATCAAAATTCAAGTTTATGTAGGTAAAAACCCTACTTTTATCACTTCTAAATAATGAAAACAAATATTTTATAAATGTAAATTATTTCTGATCATCCACATGTTGATCCCACATTTCCAAGCCCTTATACATACCAACAACAGTTGGCTCAAGGTCCACAAAAACAGCTCTAGGTACATGCTTGCCAGCACCGGTTTCACTAAAAAATGTGTTAAAGGAATCATCTCCACCTCCTATGGTTTTGTCACTGGGCATCTGACCATCTGGCTGAATTCCATGTTCAAGACAATACAATTCCCAACAAGCATTACCAATCTGAACTCCAGCTTGTCCAACGTGGATAGAGATACATTCACGCTATTTAAAAAAAAGTGTATTTTTTTATAAAAGGCATGATTAATGCTTATTTTTGAAAGTATATGCCTAATAATGAAGCACCACAAAAATGTATATTGACCCAGTTCTGTATTTTGATAATGTACCTATTTGATTTCTAATGTCTATTTTAAAATATGCACTATTTTAATGATCAATTGCCCTTAGGACACCCAAGTTAAAAAGAAAAGGTCTTTGAAAACTGTTTAATGATGCTAAAGAGTACGCTTTCTCTACAGCCCACTTACACTGTACCTACTATGCGATTTTATAAAATCTCTTTTGTCTCAACTTTAATTATGCTATACCTCATACTTCAACCCCTCCCATGTCTCACTCTTCGCCACTACTTCACACTAGACTCTTTATTATTCAGCTCTTTTACCGGTCTTTTGTAATGCCAAATCAATGGACTCTAAATCTATGCAACAGATCTCTCTCTCGTTTCTTGTTGGTTCACAGTTCTTCAGCACCAAGACTATTATATTCTCCCCCCCCTCCATCCCCTTTTCCGCTTCGCACCGTGGCAAATTCTAAGCGGAGGGCCTTTCAGCCCTCGTGCCTAGCCAAATAAATACAAGACAATACAGCGCGAGGCAACCCATGTCCTCGACCGAATCACGCCTTTCTGAGGTATGAAGACTCGACTGAGGCTAAGCTCGCGCGGGAAAACTCGCATGAGGCGACAAACATTCCTCCACGAGCATATCATTCTCGTATCCTACGCTCGCGGTTCCCTCATAGCATTACTACGCCAAGAGGCTTAAAGAGCTGCCATGTCCCAGCTCCCCACTGAACAAAGCCCAGCCACCCAAGTCCCACTTCCCACCATGGTGCCTCACGAAGATGACGAGGTTCAATGCTTTCCCTCGAAGGTTCGACGTTCAACTCCCGTTTGAAGGTGGGCTCAACTGTCGACCGTTAGAGCAACGGTTCCCGACCGCGAACTCCCCTACTCTCCATTGGTGGAGGCTGTTCAGGTCCTGGAAGCTGATTGGTTGAACAAGGTGGGTTTTTTTTTTTTTTTTTAGTTTGGGATGAACCTCTGGTGATGAAGAATCGGAGATCGGTGGAATTTTGAGCGGGAAATGGGTTCTCCGCTGAAGGATAGACTGGCGTCTGTTAGGATCGAGATTTCATGAATTCTCCTGCCGCAAGCCTCAATTAAAAAAATAAATAAAGTGGAATTCCTTGCGGTGTGATTCTTGCTACTTTCTGAGATATTATTTCATTGTTATATTTTTCACAGTTTCCTGAGACCCCGAATTCACATGATGTAGTTAGTGAGAGGCTACTTCTGTCTGTAGCCTCAACACTAAAATAAATATTGTAGATAGGTAACTGAATGAATGAATGACAGAGAAAGACAGAGATGATAGATAGATAGATAGATAGATAGATAGATAGATAGATAGATAGATAGATAGATAGAGATGATAGATATAGATGGATGATAGATAGGCAGGCAATAGACAGATAATGGCATGTTAAAAGAGAAATAGAAGTATTTTTTCCTGAATAACATTCAGTCAAATATCCGAAAGGTGCTTTTTCAAGTATATGGTGAATTTCTGTAGAAATTCAGTAAATATGACTATATTTGTTATTCTTTAAGGTTATTGTTGATATGTCTGTTTTTGTATGTAACAATGCATTATATATTCCAATCAGAATAGAATTGGGTCTTTGCATTTAAAATATTTTAATACTTTAAATGTTTAAATGCCATTGCTTTTCAATCTTGGAAGTTTGTCTACACTAACCACTAACACCTGAAAAGAAAATAATTAACTCCATTTGTTTATGGTTATAAGTCACTGTTTGGAAACTTCATGTTGTCATTCTCAGCCAATCAACATTTTACAATTATCTTTTAAATTACTTTTTATTTATTTACTTAGATTTACTTTTACTTGTGGCCCAACTGACAAAATGTATTGGATTCATGTATCATATTTTTGGAACCCATAAATTATGCAATGCTGTTAAACACAAGGCAGAATTGTACATTATAAAATGAAAAAATGAATAATTTTCACTGAAAATAAATATAGCTCAGGTGTAAACTATAAATTGCATAAAGAAATAATTTCATTGTTTAAGAAACAGTAATGATATAAGCAGAAATTCTCATTCCTTCACTATACTAGGCTTTTGTTTTGGGCGGATGTGGATAACGTTACTCCTACATGTCATTTCAACATTTTATGTATTTTTATGAAGAATTTGTTAAACATTGAAGATAAGAAAAATGAAATAATTTTTAAAAAAACAATGTAAAAAAATCCACAAAAATTATTTGGTAATAACATAATTTTAAAGAAAAAATATACTTTTAAATATACATATTCAAATTTTTTGCCCAGGAAAATATTTTACGGAGGAACAATCTCTTAGGAATTAGTCTACAATTAGACTAATTAAAAATTAAATTAAATTTAAAAAGGGTGATCACTGAATAGTGTTTTAGTGGATGATCTCGGTGGTATCTTTTAACTCTGTTTATAAGAAATGTGAATAAAACCTTCATTCATTGAAGGTTTTTCCAGTTTTTTTATTTTTTTATTTTTATGACTTATTTTAGAAGCTACACAATATGTTCCTTTTTGAATATACTGTCATGTATCGAATTTTCTGATTTTTATTGCTCTGGGCTTTATATTTAATCTGAAGACAAAGACAGCTCCTACTGGCCAGTAGGTAATATTACATATATGTTATTTCCTATATTTTTAAATACTACTGTTTCTAATAAAGATGTGAATATGACTGTTACCAGAAAAAATAAATTAAAGAGTAGAATGAATTACAAAATATTCTTGACTTGTTTTTCAACTAAGTTAAAAACATTTGTTTTTATAGTAATTACCATTGAAAATAGTTGAGTACCAACAATGTAGAAAAATGTTGACCAATATAATATTAATTTAAAAGGTGGTTGTATTATGGTCCATTTTTATGAAATGCTAAAAAAAAGTTAAATGGAATTTTGTTTGATAAACAGTTTCAAATTGATTCACTAAGATCAGGTCTAAAATATTTGTCCCATGTTTTCCAAAGAACCTGATCTATATTATATAGGCATTTATATAATATTACAATTAAGCTGAAATTTGTGTTCACTCTTATATATGGATGTATCCATATCTTTAGCAGATTTTGTTTAGAATATATACATATTTCTTTCAAAGTTATAAAGCTCTGTGAGAAAAGACAATTGAAATGCTATCAATCTGTACTAAAAGGTAACAAGATGGTGTAGCATAAAATATGTACCAGTATGTATGTATACACATATCCACATACACACATACCACTGCATTAAAAAATGCAAGTCAATGTACAAATTAACAAGACACTATACTAATTCCACCCATAAAGTGACAAAGGTTTTGCCTTAACAATAAATTTGCTTAAGATCTTGTAAGTAAGAATAAAAATATGGTGCGTGCAAAGTGAGAAATGTCAGAAAACAAGTTCTTGAAGAGACTATGGGTAGTTAGTCAAAATGGTTACATTGACCACCAGGAGGCAGTACATGACTGGTTTTATCTTAAGTGGGAACTGTCATACATAAATCAGAATTTATTCTAGGTTCAAACCCTAGAAAAATGGATTACAAAATGATACTAAGCAGAAACTCACATTTTTGGGATTTATGATGTGAGTAGACAATGTCCTAGAAAAAGAGATGTTGCTTAGGATGATTGAGGAAACTAGAAGAAAGGGAAGACTACAAATAAACAGGATGGACAAAATCAAGAATGGACTTAAATGTCTCTCGAAAAGCTACTAAGTCAACTTGTAACTGACATTTGTTCATGCACGGACTAGGAACTGAACCCAAATAGAAGGTATCTAAGTGATCAAAGGATGATAGAAGTGTCAGAGACCAGAAATTGTTTCAATCTTTTAAAAAAATATCCAAAGTACATTACATCCATCTAATGCCACCCAGCACCCATTTAAAGCTACCTGGACTCTTCTCGGGAAGAGGAGATGAAGTCCCATCGGCAGGACGATGCGAATACGAATAAAAATTGACATTTTAAATGTTTATTGTCTAGAACAATTTTTGATAGGCCATAAAAAGGAAGCTAAATACATATAAATCTCACATGCCTACTGGTCCTTTAAAATTCAGGCACAAATTTGTCATGTCGCTCATAAAAATTTGTACTCTGAATTTGATAGAGAGACTAATTTTTCAACAGCCTTCCAACAGCATGAATCACAAGTTCATCAGACAAAGCAAATGTGTTTATCAAGAGAGGTGGGTATGTGTGTTGGAGTCAGAGAGGGTACAGAATGGGGTAAAAAACACATGCTATATACATTTGGTATATGTGATGCATCAAAAAGCAACAAATCAAACAATAAGAGACATTAATTAGATGTGACAATAAAACAGCAACATTTCCAGGAAGTAATCTGCATTTCAAATTAATTTCCTGAAACTTATAATGTATACTGCCATACATATGGGAACATGTTGTCTTCATTTGAATACATTAATGGAGAAGGCTGAGCTGTACTTTATTAAGACCACGAAGAGAATTCCAATCAAAACTTTTAGGAGTAAGATGATCCCAGAGAGATCTGAAGGTATCAGAATTGTTGAGTCATGGCCTTCCTAAATAATTTCAGTACCTTGATTTTCAGGTGCTTGATTCTGAGTCTTTCGTAGTATAGAAGCCTCCTGAAATTCCTGGCTTACAAAGTAATAACAAAATGCATCCAAGCAGCAGTTGGTGTTAGCAAGAATAACAGCAACATTTAGAAACAGATTATGTTTAAGATTAGCATCAGTAGCATTTTTGAAATCTATGAATTTAATGAAATATGTAACATGAAGTGGTAAAAAGCAGGTGATGAATGTGGTCATATTTGCCAGAATTATGTTGATTGCTTTCTGAATGACCTTTTTTTCACGAAGATGGATCTTTTTCTTCCTTGTGAGTTTTTTAATTATTTGAATAGAACAGAAACTCAAGATAATTAAAGGTATAAAAAATCCCCATATTACCACGGCAAAAGAAGACACTGATGGTATTCTGTAAATTGTTTGAAAGCAAAGGTTGTCCTCTTCATTATTTATATACATGAATATAAGTTCAATACTTATAATTATGATCCAAAGAAGACCACAGACAAGCGCTGACTTTAAAGGAGACCTGATATTCTTTGCTTGGAGAGGATATGTTATGGCGATGTATCTATCAAGTGCGATAATGGTAATAAGGAAGATGCTCATGTATCGATTGATAAAATATGCACTCTCCAAAACCATGCATAATTTATTTGTGTATATACTGGTGTGTATTTTATATTTATATATAAAGTTAGAAACTAGCTTGAAAGGCAAAGTGAAGAGAAATAGACAGTCTGTTATGGCTAAATTGGTCATATATACTCTGGTTTCAGTCCATTGGATCAATTTGCAACAGAATACCCTTAAAGCAAACACATTTAGGATAACTCCAATAAAGAATACTGGTACATAAATGATTGCTTCAGCAAGAAGAATGCTTGTTTCACTAGTATCATTGCTGAGGTTCATTTTTGGGGAATCATTACTGTACAGTACATGCTGTAAAAGAAATTTTAAAAATGATTATTTTTGTAACATTTCCATTATTTATTTATTGCATAATTAATATATGTATAAAATTAACATTAAGCATTATGTTTTATACTTATTTACAATTTTGAATTGTGTAAAGTACAGCTATATTAATCCTTGCAATAATCTTAGAAAGTTAGTATAATTATTCCCATAAAACAGATGAGAACTAATTGGAAAGGAATTGTTCAAGGCCTCCATTAAACTAGAGACTTGCTCCTATTGGCCCCCAAATATTCTTAACCAATTGTAAATACACCTGAACAACTCTGTCTGTCTCTCTCTCTCTCTCTCCCCCCTCCCTTTTCTGGAATATTCTGTTTATAATAAGCTTGAACAATGTAGGTTTTCATTTTGTCATGCTGCTTAATACTAATATAAAGTATAGATTGTGCTTGAGGTTGCAGAGTTTCAACAATTGTTTGTAAAATTATTTTTAATTATAAATTTGAATATTCTTAAATTCATTTTTAGCATCTTATAAATTATTTTTAATCAAAAAAATGGATATATGTATATATATTTATATAGAGATTGTGCCATGTAAATAGATATTAGACATTGCCATGAGAATGCTTCAAGAATAAAGAGAAATTTTGCAGTCTTGAACTCTGACTTGCAAAGGATCTTTTTCCAGAGTTCATATCTGCGCTTTTTAACAGCTGTCTGTTTTGAAACAAAATCAAAAATTATTTATGTAGTACTGAATTGTTGCCTACTGTATAGTCTGCAAATAATTATTTTTGCAAGCTGCAGTATAAGGCTGCGTAAATGTAATATTTGCTTATAGTTGCTAAAATCATAGGCAGAATCATTTAACTGAACATTTTCCAATCTAATCAGTGATCAGCTGCAGTGCGGTGCTTGTGGATAGATGGTTTCTATCACTGTAGCTTTTCCATTTTTAAAAAATGAAAAATATGGGGAAGGCACTGAAAACTTACAATGAACAATATAGTTGTCAGACTATAATATAAGATGTTATGACTGAAGCATATAACAATGAAAGACTTATTTGGAAGTGTCTAGACATATTTACCCAAAAGAACTTACCTTTCAGAATTTTAAGGATTTCACCATATTCTGTTTGCTTCTACCTTGGGTTTTTTCTCCCTCTCTCTTCAGGATGATGAGTCCTTTTGTTCAGCCTGCTTTTTGTTCATCACTCTTTCTTCTGTTAGATTAATCAGCTCTATCATATTCCTGTGTTAAAACAATTTCATATGCTAACACTGAGGTCAGAATGGCCATATCAACATTCAAAATCAAGGCAGTCTAGCGGAAATTCAAAAAAGGTGAACTTGATAATCTTTGGAGTTTCCCCAAAAATGACTTCAATGAAAGCCTGGCATATGCTGACTAAAAGGAAATCCACTTGAAACATTTGGTTGCACATTTCAACACAAACATTTTAGTTTAAAATATCATCTCTATTTTACTTAAAAACTCTACAGTTTTGAAGGGTTTCTTCTGAGGGGAGGAATTTAAGGGTGCTGGAAATGCCTCTGTCCTTTTATGAAAAAAGATGGCTATTTAGTATAGAAGAAAACAGTGGCTAATACATATATTGTTCAACATTAAGGAAATAATATTGCATCTTGTGGTTTATCACAGAGTAAAACAGCATCTTTCAGTGGTCTACACTTGGCAGGAAGAAACTTGCATTTTACCATAGTTTGAAATGTAGGGCTGCAGCCAGGCTGCAATCACCTTACCATAAAGTACAATAACTAGATTAATTTATATAAGGCTTTTTATGGAATGTTATATATTTTAATTTATATATCCATTTTCTTGTGAACTTTCCTGGAACCAATTAAAAACATTTTTTGAGGAGAACGAGCAATATTTGAGCTCTAAATTGCTAACCTGATTTTTTTCCCTAGGTTTCTAGAGTGTGGTACTTGTACAGATAAACTTCTTAAATTTTCACTTCTTTCTACATTCTCTTTTTCTCTCTTTAACTTTGTCAATATTTGTTTCTGTTTGTATTTCATCTTTTAATTAAAACTTGAATAAAAAGTGGGGGGAAAGAAAACTGAAGTTGTCTGTATGTATATAGTAATAATATTCTTTCAAAAAAAAAGGAGAGAAAAAAGTAACATTTGCGGAAAATACTTAAGTCAGGAAACATATCTGTATGGTGATGAAAACTTGTACATACAAATTAGTAGCACAATGTACTGGTATATGATCTAATAATTAAAATTGGTAATTTTCTTAAAAGAAGTGGAAAACCATCATAATTCGAATTACAATAAATGGCAAAAAATCTACTGGTTCTTTAATTTTGCAAAATTTAAAAAACTGATCTACTGATCAGTTTATCTGTATAATTTTTGAGGGTTGCATGTGGTTTATTGGTTTAACTGTCTCAGTAGAGCAACCTTCAGAATGCTTGAGAACAGTACAAGAGCTATTCAGGGAAGGATGGATTCCATGGTCTGGAAGGGTGGGGCAGAGTGAAAATAGGGGCAGAAAAGTGGACAATGGGCAGGCAATACCATCTTGCTCATGATAGACAAAGGAATAATGATGCAAGTCTGTAGGAGGGCCAATCACAAGGATGGAAAGACCCCTGGCTGAGATCACTCCCACTTTTCACCCCTCATTATTTACTTCTGATACCAGGCCCTTGGATACTGGCTGGTCCCAGTTCTAGTTGCTGTTATTGAATGCCAGATCAATGTTTAATAAGATTGCCCTTATCCATAGTTTGATTTTGGATTGGGTAGCTGACATGGCATGTTTAATAAAGTCAGAGAGATACTGAAGGAAATGGGACAGCAATATGTTGCATTCCAATCAAAAGCAGAGCCATTTTTATGATTTGATGTGTCACCTGGCATTTGTTTAAAATGGATCCAGCACGTAAGCAAGCAGGAAACCACACTGAGCATTAAGCGAAATCTGCTGAAGATCTTGGTAACAGCATGATAACCACAGCAACATGCAAAGAAAAAGTGACTAATTTTTGCCATTCCAAGGTCACTCTTGGTAATGTGTCTCTGAATCCACCCAGAAACAAATCTTATAACAAATAAAGTTAAATGAAGCCATAATAAGAATTTTCTTCTATCTCCAGTCCAATTTCTCCCAATGCCCTAGCCACAGGTTGGCCAACCGGATTGAATGGATCCAGATGGCCTGCAAAATGGATCAGACTAGTAATGACAGGAATAATCCATGATGTCATGATGATCATAAAATTCTGAGTTTCCGTTGACCCCAAGGAGGGGGGTTACAAATCTCCAAGAACTGATGTTATCAATGGTTCACCTCTAAGGCATCCCAATTCCTTCTGAGCTTAATTCCAAACCTTGCTATTGTAGGGTGTGGAGATTTTGATTCAGTTAAGCAATATTCAGTTAAGCGGATTAGCCTTAAGTGGACAATTAAGACTGTTAAGAATTCCAGTAGATCTGTTGCTGGCAGAAATAGCACACATGAGAAGCTCTAAGACTGGTAATACTGCACTTTCTGCATAAAATATTCTGCAACAATATGAGGGAATAGAATTGAATGAAAAATAGATAAACATCTTTTCAGCTGCCAATTTTTACTTATTTGAAGGCATAGCAAGGAGACTGTTATGAATATCACATCTTCCGAATTAAACATTTTAATAAATTTTCAGTTAATAATGGATTCCTTCAAATAGTATAACTCTTTTTACATCTTTCATTTCTAATTTTGCTTCACTCAGATTAATACTGATGGAAGAATATTTATCTCTTTATAATTTCACATTTAATTTTTATATAATTTGTACTCTATAAGTTCTGAGGAACATATTCAGTAGAGCCAGCATGGTACAGTAATTGTGAATTGCCCAAGTTTGCTATGTTTTCAATCTTTTTATAAGGTAAAATTTCACTTGTTTAGGTTCAGAAACTAAGCAAAGTGACATCTGGTTAACACTATGATTAAAGATTAGTAGGAAATAAACCAAAGCTGTAAGATAGATAAAAACACATATCGGAAGAAATCAAGAAAACATCACATCTTTTACCAGGCTGAGGCATAGTAAATTACTGGCTTAGCAATGAACCAGTAATGCTGCCCTCACAAAAAAATTATTTGGGTGATGTGGTCCACCAGCAGTCTGCAGAGCTGGCAGCAGAATCAGACAGTGAGGAGGTTGGGGAGGAACATGGGCCAGTCTTGGAATCTGGGGAAGGCTTGGACGAGGGCTCTGCGTTGGAGACAGAGAAAGGGCCATCTGGGAGGTACGTGCTGTCTCCAGAGCCTCCAGAATCAGATCTCAGCGAGGCAGAGGAACAGGGGGAGCCTGTTCCCAGTGTGCACATGTGCAGAGCTGCCAGAAGGCAAGAACAGTTAAAACAAAAGGGACAACTCAGGAGCAGGGCTTGGAGATGATTGGCCCCTCCCATAAGACTTAAAAGAGGAGCAAAGGCATGTGGGCCTTTGCAGGAAACAACATTGTTAATTCTGTTCAGTTTAAAGTCTGAAGCTCTGTTTGATTCTGGGCTCCATGTGGCTTTGCCAATTAGGTCTTTGACAGCGGGTCAAGGGAGATAAAGGTGGGTGATTATCAGCCTTATCCCGAAGGAATCTTTACAACTATTTGGGACTCATCTGTGAATGACCAGAATTCACAGCTATTGCAATAAAAGAGGTTTTGGGACTACTCGTGTGTTTTACTGACTCAGGAAGCCTAGGTCAGAACATTGGGTTGGCTCTCTTCTTCCACGGACTTATGTAAAAGGAGGTGAAGGGAGTTTCCATTGCATTCAATATCGTTATGCATAATACTGAGATGAGCTATAAAAGAAAGCTCAACTAATCAACACACTATTTATTTTAAAATATCTATTCAGTCAATAAATTCATTATGATTGAATACTGCACTACAGTGAGTTTTTGGACAGGAAAACAAAATAACTGAACTGCTATGCTTCCCTCCACCTCCAGTCAAATGAAATGTATATGCTACAAAATTTCTTGTTGTCATGAAATTCATGACAAGAAATTTTGTAGCATATAGATGCATCAAAGGGCAACCATTCACCAGTGTGAAATGATGCATCAAAGGGCAACCATTTTTGAACTCAAATGGGTTAATTTACAGAATGAAAATACAGGACCTGTGACTCCCAAGGGAATGAAATTTGGGAAAGATGTGACTTTTTCAAGTGCTACTGACTGCTGCTGCAATCACACCACTTTTATTTCCAATGTTCTGTAACAGTTTCCCAGCTGGTTTGGTAATCCCTTTCCCTCTCCCTACTTCAGAAGCAGTAATTTACCTGTCTGATGGAAAGAGAAGAGAAGAGGAAAGGGAAGAAGGAAAATTTATGGTGCTCCCTACTAGATTCACACAAGAAAACTCAATGAAGAAGCCAGCAGGAAATTGGAAGTCACTCCTGATCCTATTACTATTACTATTACTATTACTATTGGTTAATCTTTAGTGAGATTTACAGCCTTTGAGGCTGGTTAATAGCTCAGCAGCTCAAGTCCTAACCAAGGACCTAGGAACTGTTAAGGTATCGTCGGAGGATGTAAGCTGTTCCGAATAAGGTGGTTTTTTGTAAAGTCAAAGTGTTCAAGTCCGGCAAATTTAGAATTTCTAAATAGCGGGGTAGCCCTTTGGGTATTGCTCCAAGGGCTCCAATTACAATCGGGACAACACACGATTTCTTTTTCCACAGTCGCTCAACTTCAATTTGCAAGTCCCGGTACTTTGTGATTTTTTCTTGCTGCTTATCTTCAATCCTTGCATCACCAGGTATTGCAATGTCAATGAACCATACTTTTTCTTTTCAACTATTGTTATGTCAGGTGTGTTGTGGACCAAGTGCCTGCCAGTCTGAATCCTAAAGTCCCACAAGATCTTGAGTTTCTCATTCTCTAAAACTTTCTCAACTTGATGTTCCCAGTGGTTTTTGCTGTACTCAAATCCAAACTTCTGGCACAATTTCCAGTGAATTATCTTAGCAACACGGTCATGGCATTGTAGGTAGTCAGTTTGTGAAATTTTGCTACACCCACTGATCAGGTGGTCGACTGTCTCATCTTTCTCATTACAGAGGCGGCATTTGCTGTTGGTGGTAACATGTTGAATTTTTGCCTTCATGCAGTTTGTGGCTAGGGCTTGTTCTTGAGCTGCCAAAATAAAGCTTTCTGTTTCTTTTTTCAGTACTCCTGATCTTAACCAGTTCCAAGTTAGTTTCTGGTCAGCTTTGCCTTCAATACTTTTCAAGTATTGGCTATGCAGAGCTTTGTGTTTCAATTTTCAGCTCGCTGCTCAATTACTTCTTTCTTATATTCTGCTTTTGTTTTAGTTGTCTTTAAAAGGCCTCCTTTATTTACTTCCTTAATCATTGGTTCTTCACTTTTCTGGATGTAATCATTCAAGCTGCGTTTTTCTTCTTCCACAGTCTGCTTTACTTGTATGAGTCCTCGACCACCCTCTGCTCTTGGTAAATATAATCGGTCAACATCACTTTTAGGGTGCAAGGCATGATTCATTATATGGCACAATTTCCAGTGAATGATCTTAGCAACACGGTCATGGCGTTGTAGGTAGAGCTTTCAACAACCCTGCAATAGCTAGCTGGAGAAGCAGAAGACTATTTGCTTGCTGTTTCCAGCAGAGATGATGGATAAGCTCTATGTAATTTCTTATTACATATTAATCAACGATATTAATTTCTTCTTCAGTTTCAGTTCCAAGCTGTATTTCAGGGGTGTCAAATAGGCGGCACGCAGGCCGGATATGGCCTGCACAGGCCACGCCTACCCCGGCTCCACAAAGGCAAAAAAAGTCCCCATACATCATAATCGTCACGATTTGGCCTGCAATAAAATTGAGTTTGACACCCCTGCCAATGTATTTCAACTGAATCACATCATATACGCACAGTTTCAAATTCTAATTTCACTTCAACTAAAGAAATGTCATGAAGCAACTAGGAATAGAAACAATGACTTTACAAAACTTTTATTACAAAATTTACATCTTTGGGTCCTTCAGAGTTATTTCAAATTATTTTAAAGAACATTATTGACAAATCAGACATTGATGCTTTACAGATTTAAATTGGAAAAAAATGGAAGCACTTCTTAATAGAACAATTCTTTACAGGCATATAAAAATAGTAACGAAACACACCTTGAGACAAGGTACATTTTGGAGCAAAAATGAAAAGTATTTAATATTGGCTGAGATTTGGATCTTAAGAGATGTCTTTTGATCCAAGTCCATTAAAAATATAACATTATTGAATGACATCGCTTTCAAATGGTTTTGGAAAACAACATTTTTCAGGTATGTAAATTTGGTTAAAGAGGAGATGGATTACTCTATCCAGCCACAGCATCTGAAAAAAACATATAATTTGTTTCAGATGCTGTGGCTGGATGGAGTAATTTATATGACACCATTTCATGTAGAAATAATGCATAATTAAGGTTTGTTCTAATTATCTAAGTTTTAGTTGAGGATGGCTATTTTGTGCAACCTCCATAGGTATCTCTTCAGTGCCTTGGGAAGTTCTATATCTCCCCTTCATATTATTAAGATACTTGAAAAACCAGACAGTGATCTGACTAAAGAAATTCAAATAAATGTATATAGATTAATTGTAAGAGTAAAACAGCTGGTGTTTATCCAGTTGGTTTTATATACAATAGAAAATTAGAAGTTGAGATATTGATGTTACCTTCCACAAATTGCATCTGTATTCCTCAAAACCATAACTTTTGTTATGTATAATTACATACTGTACTTAAAGCTGATAATGAATTGGAATCTTATGAGGAATTTATTATTTCACCAACAACAGTTATTCAAATGGATGTTGACTCTCATTCATATATGGACTACATTCTGGTTACATATATAAGGAATATATGAAACCAAAAAGCAGGTAGAATGAGGATAACACAATAACCAGGTAAAAGTCTTCTTCTTCACAAACAACACCGGGGCAGACACTGGTAACGACGAGCGAGCCAGATTTTTGTCCAGGAAGTCCCGCAACATGGCCAACTCAGGGTCCGACATCCAAAAGTAGCTGATAACTGTCAGACGGCCCTGGCCCCATCTCTGCCTCCAACGCAGAGCACTCATCAGAATCTTCCCCAGACTCCAGGACTGGCCCATGTTCCTCTCCAACCTCCTCACTGTCTGAGTCTGGCGGGAGCCTGGTGGGCCACAACAATTAGTCAGTAACATGGCTTGTTAAGTGAATCTGGCTTCCCTATTGACTTTGCTTGTCAGAAGTTTGCAAAAGGGGATCATGTAACCTTGGGACACAGCAATGGTCATAAATATGAACCAGTTGCCAAGCATCTGAATTTTGATCACATGATCATGGGGATGCTGCAAAGGTCATAACTGTGAAAAATGGTCATAAATCACTTTTTTCAGTTCCATTGTAACTTTGAATGGTCACTAAACGAACTGTTGTAAGTCAAGGACGACCTGTAATCATAATGTTTTAGAATACTCTTTTGTCCTGGAAAAAATATTAATTGTTCACCGACAAAATTATATTAATACATTTGTTTTTCTTTTAAAAGAACAGTATTAAAATCAACATGGCAAATTACTTCAGAAATAATACCCAAATAGCCCTTTCATATCTATCAATATGAAGATATCTGAACAAAGTCGAAGTATAAAAACAAGCTTCAGGAAGGCAAAAAAAAAAAAAAGGTTATAATATATTTGAAACAGTGGCAAGGTGAAACAAATATAACAAAATGATGTTGAAATATTCATTAGGTTGCTAGGATGGATGTAAGTGTTGCTTTTTTGATAAAAGAAAGTCTGATCATCTTGAGGTACTATTTATACCTGCAAAAAGTGTGGCAGGTATAATTATACCAACAATAGTGTTCCTCAGTTGCACAGTTGCAGGCCTTGGAACAGTGATCAGAGGATACTTTAGAGCAGGGCTGCCAAACTCGCGGCCTACGGGCCAGATGCCTCACATGCTGGCCACGCCCACGCCCTGTTTAGTGAAGGGCGAAAAAGTCCCGATACGTCAAGTGACACCGCCGTGACGTTTGTTTCATTCCCCTGGTTTAGAACTACTGCTTTTCAATTCATCAGATTGAACTCAGAATAGTCTCTGCCAATGTTTTCCTCACTGAAACTAAGAGGGTGGAGAGTTGGGGAAACATGGCATGACAAAAACAGCACCCTTGTCAACATTTGAGTTTGGAAAGTGACTTAAACAAGCTGTCACAACACATTATTCTCTTAGCAGTTTAGTTCTTTTGATGAATCAGCTAAAATGAAACAGCCTGGGCCATGTGCTCAGAGGAAGTGTATTGTGTATAAACTAGTGAGTGTGCATATAAATACATGTGAAAAACAGAAACATTACCATATATAATATTGAGTTTTGGTCTTTTTCAACATCACCTATGAAAAACACATGTATTTTCAAAATTATTCAGACTATGTAGAAATTGTAGAATCGGTAGAAAAAGTCTTTCCCTGCAAAACATATTCTGGAAACAAAATAAAGCACATTTTTCATAGCTCCATCTTGAATGACATATAGCAGTGATGGCTAACCTTTTTGCCATCGCGTGCCAAAAATGGGGGGAGTGCGGGGGGGGGGGTTGTGCGCACACGTGCCCACACCCATAATTCTATGCGCCCTGCCCTGTCCCGCCGCGTATGCATGTGTAACCCCCCCACGCGACCCCTGCTTTTGCCACGTGATGGAATGGTGGGCCTGTTTTTCACCCTCCCCAGGGTCCAGAGACTTTCTAGGAGCTTTGGGAGGGCAAAAACAGCATTCCCCACCCCCCGGAGGCCCTCCAGAGGCTGGAAATGGCCCATTTGCCGATTTCCAGTGGGCCCAGAAGACCCAAAAACCAGCTGGCCGGCACGCGCATGCACACCTGAGCTGAGCTCACGTGCCCACCGATATGGCTCCATGTGCCACCTATGGCATGCGTGCCATAGGTTCGCCATCACGGACATGTAGGGAAGATGAATCCAATTAGGCATTTAACAGAATTTGGCACTGTTTATAGTATCTGCAACATCCAATTCTGAACATTTGTTCAGCTCTTCCAGAATTGGTCATCCAGAGTGGGGCACTCGCTTCAGACAGTAAATGCTGATGACTAACAGCATTAAGACAGGGATGAAATCTAAAATTTTTCCCTACCAGTTCTGTGGGCGTGGCTTGGTGGGGGGGTGTCCTGTGACTGAATGGGCATGGCCAACTCAAAGTCACTCACAGCCATGCCCACTCAGTCACAAGACCCCCTCCCACCAAGCCATGCCCACAGAACCCGGTAGGAAAACTTTTTAAATTTCTATTCTGCCGGTGTGTCCTTACCTTTCTCCTGCGGCTCCGCCCACCCACCCCATTCCCTGACTCCTACTGCCCACCTTTCTCCCGCAGCTGGCTGTCAGGGAAGGCAAGCACCTGAAAGGTACCGGAGTCGCTCACTCTCCTTGAATGAGCCGCTCTAGTCCAGGCGCCGGCTGTGCAAGCGCACACCATTTATTTAATTCACTCATCAGCGGCGGGTTGGGTGTGTGCTTGCGCAGCCGGCGCGTGGACCAGAGCGGCTCATTCAAGAAAGAGAGTGAGCGGCTCTGGTACCTTTCGGGCACTTGCCTTCCCTGACAACCAGCCGCGGGAGAAAGGTGAGCAGTAGGAGTCGGGGAATGCACCATTCCCCGACGCCAGCCTTGCTGCGGAGCTGCTGCCGCTTGCCCTTTGCCATGCGGCTCCGCCCACCTGCCCCATTCCCTGGAGTCGGGGAATGCACCATTCCCTGACTCCTATTGCTCACCTTTCTCCCGCGGCTGGCTGTCAGGGAAGGCAAGCACCCGAAAGGTACCAGAGTCACTCACTCTCCTTCTTGAATGAGCCACTCTGGTCCATGCGCCAGCTGCGCAAGCGCACATCCAACCTGCCACTGAATTAAATAAACAGTGTGCGCCTGTGCAGCCGGCGCGTGGACCAGAGTGGCTCATTCAAGGAGAGTGAGCGACTCTGGTACCTTTCGGGCGCTTGCCCTTTCGGGTGGGTGAGCAGGTGGGTGGGTGGGTGGAGCCTCCAGCTTCCATTGCTACCAGTTCTCCGAACCACCGGCCATCATCACTACCTACTCGCCTGAGCCGGTCCGAACCGGGAGCATTTCACCCCTGCATTAAGATTTGGAAAGTGGCATATCCCATGCCTGCTACACTACTCTGCTACCTTTAAGAGCACTGGAATATTAACTTTTGGATAAAACACGGAAAGTCATCTCGTCCTTCACTTTGGATTGCAAAATGTCTTGGTAAAGGCTTGAGCTCAGTGCTGGATTTCATTCCTCTAACAGCGATATATTATTTTTCATTTCTAGTATCTATGGAGATTCTGTCATCCAGGTCATGGTTGTCCCAAAGGTGCTTTTTCAACAGGCAACTTGACTTTCTTTTTTCTTGAAGATGTTTCACTTCTTACCAAAAAGCATCCTCAGTTCTGACTGAATGCTGTGGGAATGGAAGGATTTATACTTTTTGCAGTCATCTGGTCATTAGCACTTTCAAGGTGGGTCATTAGCTCTCTGAGAGTCATTGAGGCCTCTTGGGGGGTTTATCTGTGCAGTCAGAGTCACCTGAATCAGAATGCAAATGGATGTGGAATCATCTTGGAACTGCTGAAAGGATTGTGTCTATCCCTTCCCCTCTATTGAGAAAGGGCTGTTCAATTTTAACATATATGGCCTCTTTTACTCCTTTTCAAAACAGTAGTCCTCTCTGTCCAGAATGTGGACTTTGTGAATTTCCAGTCTTTATTTGTCTATCACCATGCCTGGCCATACAAATGGCTCCCTAAATTCATATATTTCTAACACATCATTGCCCTCTTGGATCATATTCTAATATTGACTTCTGAATAGTGCAGAACAGACAACAAGTGACAACAAGGCACAGAAATCCTGGTCCCTCCACCACTGGCTTGTTCCTAAAATATGGAAGTCTCATCTAAAAGCTTTGAAGCAGCAACTATATATATTTTTTAATTCCGTCACAAAAATTAGACACAAACCAATTGTGTCTAATTTTTGAGAATAGATTTTTAATTGTATTTCTGTAATAACTGATGGGTAATTACATTCTTGGCAATCATTAGAAATGCATTCTACAGAATGCTGTATATGGCACATGTTGCAATCCTGAATTAAGGCAAATTGAATGGAAGAAATGCACCTTGGTTTCTTGACAGGGCCCTTACAACTCTTACTTTTAAACATTAAAGTGCCTTGTGACTCAAGACAGGCTTCCAAACCCAGAATATGGGATTCACACTCCTAACATTGTGCTCTCCTTAAGCCTGGTAAAGTCACTTTTCCATAATTGTAAACATCTTCATCTGTGCCTTGATTAAGGTGCTTCACCATATTTTTTTCAAAGAGCTGTGGGTGGTAGGCACCCAATGTACATGCTTCATCTAAGGTATTCTGGTAATAGTGGCAAATGTCTGTTTGCCTCTTAGAGGGGAGAAACTCATAAACATTCACTTCATCACAGAAGTGCATCATAAGAACAATGCCTAGGGAAGAGAAAAAGAGAGATAAAGAGAGGCATGTTAAAGAAACAATTTAACAGCAAAAATATTAATAGTAACACAAAACAAAACAAAGAAAAAAACTCCCTTCCTTGGCCCAGAAACTTCTAATGCTAGAAAACTTGAAGGATTCCATACCAATCTTTTCTTAACTTACTAACTTAACAATTGCAGTGATTCACTTAACAACTGTGGCAAGAAAGATAATAAATTAGGGCAAAACTCACTTAACTACTGTCTTACTTAGCAACAGAAATTTTGGGCTCATAAGTCGAGGACTACCTCTATATATATATATATATATATTTAATTTGATTTATATGCCGCCCTTCTCCGGAGACTCAGGGCGGCTTACAGTGCGTTAAGCAATAGCCTTCATACTTTTGTATATTTATACAAAGTCAGCTTATTGCCCCCACAAACTGGGTCCTCATTTAACCTACCTTAGAAAGGATGGAAGGCTGAGTCAACCTTGAGCCTTGGAGAGATTCGAACCAGCAGTAAATTCCAGGCAGCTGTGTTAATAACAGGGTGCTTTAAACCACTGTAGTACCAAGGCTCTTGTACATACTTGGGGTGAAATTCAGCAGGTTCTGACAGGTTCTGGAGAACCGGTAGTGAAACTTTTGAGTAGTTCGGAGAACTGGCAAATACCACCTCTAGCTGGCCCCAGAGTGGGCTGAGAATGGAGATTTTGCAATATCCTTCCTCCCGGAGTGGAGAGGGAATGGGGATTTTGCAGTATCCTTACCCTGGAGTGGGGTGGGAATGGAGATTTTGTAGTATCTTCTTCTTCTGCCACGCCCACCAAGCCACGCCCACAGAACCAGTAGTAAAAAAATTTGAATTCCACCACTGGTACATAATATAATCTCTGTACTTTATTTCTCTAAAATAGGGATACAAATCGAAAGGAGAAACCAAAGACTTACCAAGCATTCCAGAAGAGGGTGGATTTGGCTGAATATCCTCGGGTGAATTTTCCTGAAGGATATCCCACAGTTGCCATTGCATTTTGGGATTCAGGATATAAAAAGGTTGCTTGGGATGTCTCTTCCGATAATGCTTGTAGCTTTCAAAGAAATGGTAGTCTGGTTTCTGAAACCACTGAAGCCAGAAATGAAAATGAGTTGCAAATCTCCTCTTTGGAAATATGATCCTTTTAAAAAAATATTTTTATTGAAAGTTTTAATAAGAGAGAAAAGAAAATTAAAAAAGTATAAAGTATATATAGAAAAAAAAGGAAAGAAAAAAATATAAAGAAGTAGCTTCCAACTTCTTCATCACAAGTACAACCTTACACACACACACACACACACACACACACACACACACACACAGAGGAACCAATTTCCAGTTGGATTTCTTCCACTCTTGATGAATTTTTATCCTTTTATCCTGTCTTCTCTTACTCATTTCTAGAAAGTAAATGGCAGATTTGACCTTAAAATGTATTTTCATTAAACAGATTTAAAAAGGAATATTAAACTGTTAAAGGTAAGATATTAAATGTAAAGTAACATTCATTTATAAACTTCTTAAATATTATAAAAGTGTTTATATGATGTAGTATAAAAAGTAGGAATAAAGAAAGCTCTTAATTGCAAATCTTATAACAATTATTGCTGAAATGACAATCTCAAGTAATTGTGTTTATATGTGTCTGTGTGTTTATAGGGGCTCCTTCTGCTACCCCTACAGCAATGATACAACATAAAATAGAAAATAGCATATCATTAAATAAATACAAAATGTAATAGAATTTAAATGTACTTTTACTGATCTAAATGTCCTTGGATCTTTTTCCCAGATATAGTTCAAGAATAAACTAACTAGTCCAGAAAAAAATGCAGGTAAGTCTTAAGCAATTATTTCTTGTACAAGAGCTCTCTCTTGTGGTTATAGATATGTTAAATTCAAAAACATTTTTTTTTTACAAAGCACAAAGTGAAACAATCAAATTAACAGTAAAAAGAGTTAATATGAAAGATTGTGTTCTTCATTGCCAAGTGACACAGTAATGCTTTTGGGAAGCATAGGAAGGCAGTAAACTATGTTTATACTGTGTTTTGCTACTGCATGTCTGTCGCACCAGCAATACAATACTAGGACCTTTGAGAACAGTTTTATTTGAAAACCTCAAAAACTACGTTAAGTGGCTGTTGCCAATCTCCCAAGCAGGAATATTTTGTGTGATGCTGATAGTAAGGCTATATTAAAAGAAAACTCCCTAAAAGGAGTTCATTGAAATTGGAGACCAGAAAACATCTCAAAGTACTAAAAGGAAGTATGTATGAAATATGGTACTATCCCATGGCCCACCAACTTTTCTAGACATCCTGTATACTGTACACCAATGAAATTTACCTCATAAATACTGGCATGATATGGTGCTGGATCCCAGAGAATGATGATTCCAAAGTTGAATTGTACATCTGAAACAAACTTCTTTTCTTCAACAGTAATAAGCTAGGAATGACAAAAGAGATGGAGATCATTGCATTCTTCCCTATTTTGAAAAGCCTGGGGCATCCATTCCCAATCTGAATGTCCTCTGTGTATATGCAATCCAGTTCCTAGACTTCTCAATTCATTAGAATTCTGAAAGTTGAAGTGCATGTATCTGAGATTGTAGAAGGCTAACTTGAGTCAGATGACATGGCTTTATTTGGGCCATTATTCTAAATTAGGCTTCTCCAACCTGATGCTTTCCAGATGCATTACACCACTTCTCTGTGTAGGACTTGAGATAGCATGGAAGATATTGTATATACAGCACCACAAGCAAAAGCAAACACACTTATTTCCATGACCCACCAGCCCGTAATTTATGTGACAGTAGAGTTAACGGGAATAAATTACTGCTGCATGAGTTTTACATTTTTTTTTCTTGCCTCAGTGACGTTTCAGTCATAGTAAATTATATACTGTGAGCAAAACGTATTCAAGGACATGAAGCAGGGTTAACATGGAGAGGAAGAACTAAACACCTCCGTGAGTCATATAACAACCACACACATAGTACAGGCATAGTCCAACTCTAATTTTGAATGTTTAAGCAAAGATCTGAAATGTATTTCCAACGTCCCCATGATCTTGAACCTTTACTTTCATACACATTTCCCTATTTCATTTGCTAAAACAGTAATAGAAATACCTCAAATAACTTCAGATACACACACACACACACACACACACACCCCTCCCCTGGTGAAATTTTTATCATTTGAAATTTTGCCATAGGATTGAGCAGCCTTAACCCCGAACCCTAACCCTATGGAATATCATACCCTCCTGAAGTGACATCTGCACTGACCCACCTGACCTTCCGTAAGGGCCCTGAAGATCTGGTTTTACCAGCAGGCCTGGGGTTCCAACAGGGAGGATCACTTTGGAGGCAGTTGATAGATTGAGAAAAGTTCTACCACCCCCACTTAGTCTTTGTGGTCCTTTCTCTGCCCCTCTTTTAATGATAAATATTTAGTATAACTATGATTATAGTTATTACTGTTTTATCTTTCTAATGTTTCTGGTTTTAATGTTTGTAAGCCACCCAGACTCACCTCCAGATGAGATGGGCGGCACATAAATCCAATAAATAAACAAACAAATAATTTTTTGCAGACAGTATACAATATACCTATTCTACTGCATGCAAAACTGGTTGACTATGGTTTACAAGCATATCTTATAATAAATGGATGACATATTCACAACTACAAGAACCCAAGTAGGACATCCATGAGCCAATTTGATTATTCCAGAGAAATAATAAATGTGGACCCTGCAAATAATGTTTGCATTTTGAATCTATTCTAACCCAAGTAAATGCAATATTTATTTATTTTATTTTATTTTATTTTATTTTATTTTATTTTATTTTATTTTATTATTTTTATTTTATTTTATTTTATTTTATTTTATTTTATTTTATTTTATTTTATTTTATTTTATTTTATTATTTTATTTTATTTTATTTTATTATTTTATTAAATTTTTATACCGCCCTTCTCCTGCTGGACTCGGGGCGGTGCACAGCCAAGAATAAAAAACATCCCAATACAAAATTTAAAATTTTAAAAGATTTAAACAAATTTTGGCCCAAAATTTAAAACCTCCCAACTAAAATCCATTTACAATTAAAAATATCTGGGGGGGGGGAGGGTTTACGCCAGCCCAGCTTGATGATATAGAAAAGTTTTGAGTGCACGGTGAAAAGCACAGAGATCTGGTATCCTATGTATCTCCGGGGGCAGGTCGTTCCAGAGGGCAGGTGCTGCCACAGAGAAGGCCCTCCCCCTGTGGGTCGCCAACCGACATTGCCTGGCTGACGGCACCCTGAGGAGTCCCTCTCTGTGGGAGTGAACTGGCCGATGGGAGGCTATTGGCAGCAGAAGGCGGTCCCCTAAGTACCCAGGCCCAATGCCATGGAGCACTTTAAAGGTGGTAACCAACACCTTGAAGTGCACCTGGAAGACCACCGGAAGCCAATGCAGCTCGCGCAGGAGGGGTGTCACATGGGAGCGCCCTATCGCTCCCATAATCTCCCGCGCGGCCGCATTTTGCACCAGTTGGAGACTCCTGGTGCTCCTCAAGGGGAGCCCCATGTAGAGAGCATTGCAGTAGTCCAGGCGGGAAGTGACGAGTGCCTGAGTGACTGTGCGTAAGGAGTCCTGATCCAGAAAGGGACACAACTGACGAATCAGGCGAACCTGATAAAAAGCTCCCCTGGCCACGGCTGTCATATGCTCTTCTAAAGACAGCTGTGCATCCAGGAGGACGCCCAAGTTGTGAGCCCTCTCCATGGGGGCCAGTAACTTGCCCCCAATAGCCAGCGATGGCACCAGCTGGCTATTTTGGGACACTGGAAGCCACAGCCACTTGGTCTTGGAAGGGTTGAGTCGAAGACTGTTTCTCTCCATTCAGACCCGCATGGCCTCTAGACACTGGGACATCACTTCAAGGGCATCGTTGGGATGGCCTGGGGTGGAGATGTACAGCTGAGTATCGTCAGCGTACTGATGGAACTCCACCCCAAAACCATGGATGATCTCGCCCAGCGGCTTCACATAAATGTTGAACAGGAGGAGTGAGAGGACCGACCCCTGCGGCACCCTACAAACAAGGCGTCTCGGGTCAACCTCTGCCCCCCCTGCCAACACCGACTGCGACCGGTCAGAGAGATAGGAGGAGAACCACCGTAGGATGGTGCCCCCCACGCCAAACCCCTCCAACCGGCACAGCATGATACCATGGTTGATGGTATCAAAAGCAGCTGAGAGATCTAACAGGACTAGGATAGAGGAACAACCCCTATCCCGAGCCCTCCAGAGATCATCCACCAACGCAACCAATGCTGTTTCTGTGCTGTGCCCAGGCCTGAAGCCGGACTGGAGCGGATCTAGATAGACAGCTTCATCCAGGTACCGAGGAAGCTGTCGCGCCACCACACTCTCAACAACCTTCGCCACAAAGCAATAGTTTGTGATGATAGTTAGCCAAAACAGCCGGATCCAGAGAGGGCTTCTTGAGGAGGGGCCTCACCACCGCCTCTTTCAAGGCGGACGGCAAGACACCCTCACTCAAAGAAGCGTTAATAATCCCCTGGAGCCAGCCTTGCGTAACCTCCCGGGAGGCCAGCACCAACCAGGAGGGACACTGGTCCAATAAACATGTGGTCGCGTTCAGCCGTCCCAGTATCCTGTCCACATCCTCGGGAACGACAGGATTGAACTCTTCCCAAATGACATTCTCAAGACCGGCCTCCATCATCCCGTCTGTACCCACCCAGTCAGAGAGCAAGCCTTCCCGAATCTGAGTGATTTTATCGTGCAGATACTGAACAAAATCCTCAGCCCGACCCTGCAAGGGATCCTCCCACACTCCCAGATGGAGGAGGGAGCGGGTCACCCTAAACAGGGCTGGGCGGTTATCTGCAGATGCAATAAGAGCGGAAAAATAATTACATTTTGCCGCTTTTATCGCTACTAGGTAGATCTTAATATGAGACCTTACCATATCATTGCCTAGATGTGGAACATAGATAAATAAAGTACAGGATGAAGAAAGATACAAGATATTTATAGGTGATAATCAGCTGGAGAGTGCATGCATTAATTTTTATTCAGATAATGCCAAGGATCCAACTCTGATAGGCAGCAGAAATCAGAGTTCCCTTTTTCAATTTTTCATACAATTTCCATTGTATAATTTTGTAATAAAGGTCCAGCAAATTTGCACTGTCCAGGATGGTAGACTACAAATTCTACCATTACCAGTCAGACTGAGCAATTTTACAAGTTGGATTGAAGATAGTGTACAACAGTTACAATTTCCATAACATCTTTAAATATTTTTGCGGAAAACTTTTTTTTCTTTTTCAGTAGCTAACTATTCTAGGTCAACTCCGGATACAATTATTGTACCACTGACTTGCTTAATACTAAGTAAACATATGCAGAATTATAGTGAACTTCCTGAAATCCGTCATAGAGATTATTCCCATTTACAACTTTTAGGTAGAGTATTAGCATCATTATTAGTCCCGTTTTTCTTTTCTTTTTTTTTAACTAGAGAAAGGGAAAATAATTTTCATAGTGATTGTAGGTCCCAGTAAAGTTTTTTTCCCATCATTGACATTAATTTAAAGATTTTTTTTTCCTGCAAAGACTAATAATAGCATGCACGTTATGTGTCAGAACTGTATTTGTGGAGGCTTAACACCTCCCTGCCCCCTTCCTGTGCAGAAATTTCTGCAAAGTTTCCTGTGTCACTTCCTCCAAATCCAAATCATGTATAAAAGCACTTTCTGGTAATAACTTTATTTTGAGTCAAAGCTGTATTTGGAATCAAAGCTGCATCTATTGACTGCTTTATGATTTGGATTCCTGCAATATAAATAAGAAGCTGAATTGCTACTTTTTTCTTTTATTACAAAATATGTTAAGAAACTTTTTAAGTTTCCATCTAAAAGGATTGCACAGCTAAAAACAGTGCTTTGCCTTTAATCACACCTGCATTTATTTTGGTTGTTCTTTCACTCAAGTTGAAAAAATTGCTTTCAGTGTTTTTTGCAAAAAACGGAAAAGAGAAAATTTCAGTTAAATTCTCATGAAGCTTGGCAGTCTTTGCACTGGTGACAGGTGTGCATGCAGCTCTTCCCTTTTATCACAGAATCCATTTTCCAGGGTTCTTCACCCTTTCTGGTTTCCCATGCTTCAATTAAACCCCGCCAAAACAGAGAAAGGAACGCTCTTATGGGGCATTTTTTTAAAAAGGAGGCATGGGCACCCAGCCGTGGAGGCAGAGCATTTTTTATGTAAAGATTTGTAACAGACAATAAATTACTGCACTCTCTTCCTTTAATAAAATAAAATAAAAAGTTAGAATAACTTGCAAAACCAGAAGGAACTATGAAAATATTCAAAAGCAGCTATGCTAATAATATAAAGAAATCTTTCTGGAGATTGGGAGACATATCTTGACAATCTATTAAGTTAGCACAAACTGCACATCTATTTTTGGACTATGATCCTTGAATGTCAGCTGTAAAAAAGCTGGCAGGCCTAAGACAGAAATAGATATGATCTGGACAAAAGCTAAATTTAACTTAATAACATTCAATTAACATTTAATTAAACTAAGGTAGTCTTTGGGTTATGATCCTAACTGAGACTGGCATTTCCATCACTAAGCAAAACATCATGGAACTGTGCTGCTTTACGACAGCAGTCCTAGTTATGGTTGTTAAGCAGGGGTGAAATCCAAAATTTTTCCCTACTGGTTCTGTGGGCGTGGCTTGGTGGTCATGGCAGGGGAACGATACTGCAAAATCTCCATTCCCTCACCTCCTGGGGGAAGGATATTGCAAAATCTCCATTCCCACCCCACTCTGGGGCCAGCCAGAGGTGGTATTTGCCAGTTCTACAAACTACTCAATATTTCCGCTACTGGTTCTCCAGAACCTGTTAGAACCTGCTGCATTTCACCCCTGTTGTTAAGTAAGGATTGCAGAGTTATTAGGCAAAGACTTCATGCTACTCTTCTCTGTGCCAACTCCTCCGTTCCAACTCTTCCCACCAGCCTATCTCCACCCATTTCTGTCTTTTTGGCCACACAGCACAACATGGCCAAACATAGAGGCTGCTATATTTTGCTGCCATCCTCCCCTGCTCCCTAAGCAGCATAGAAATCCTTTTAGTGGAAGGAATAGAAAGCATCCAATTCACAGGGCTTGGAGTAACCAGCAGGCCTAGGCTGGGAAAAGAGTTATTTCTTGGCTGCTCCCTCCCTCCTTCCCTCCCTCCTCCAGTCAGCCATGGTGGGCAGGGGCCAATGTTGGACTGGATCAGTGGTGGGTTGCTACCGGTTCACCCCGGATCGGTAGCGGTGGTAGTGAGAGGCTCCGGCCACCTGCCCGGACGTCTCTGCACATGTGAGCGAAATTGAAACCTACTACTGGACTGGCTGCAGAAATGGTACCAGCTTTTGGACCCAACAACCCTCTCTTATCTGGCCTTTATCCACCTTGCGGCTCCACGGGCAAGAAACCTGGAGGGTGGCCTGGTCAGGAGAGCTTGCTGTTTAGGAACAGGTTACCCTTGTAGATCCAACCCTTGTGAAAACCACCCAACTTCTCCCACTTCTCTTGTTACTTAGCTGACCTACCTGAGAATTAACAAGACGTATTGTAGTTTTGTCACCGACATCTACCTGAAACCCTTTGGTAGGGGCCCCATTAAACCTCAGGACTGCATCATGGTTGTCTGAAATAAACAGAAAATATGAACTGAGTACATCTCAGAGCAAAGTCTTTAAAGTTTCAACAGTTCAGCTGTGAAATCCTCCTGTGTTCTACAGAAAAATGCCAGGAAGACGTTTCAATGTCACCTCAATGTTCTTGTTATGTATTTGAAAAATTTATACCATAGCCTTATAACTAATTTATGTTGATCTGATGCTACATTAATGTTAAACCTTTGAAAAAAATAAGGGAGAGAGAGAGAGAGACAGAGAGGGAGGGAGGGAGGGAGGGAGATCATTTAAAACTCAAGAGCATTAATCTCTATACAATAAACTATTCCTTTAACTAAGATGTAGAGTTGGGCACAGATGGCTTTCTCCAATGCCTGCAGCTGCCTCTCTTGCAAGAGAGAGAAACACAATGTGATTCTGATTGATTGTAATTAACTGGAGTGTATGAGGAATGACCAAGTGAACCTTAATCTGGACAAGTTGATAGCAAGGAAAATTGGCTAGGGCTTCCAGTTGGGGTTTTCAGCCTTGTCCAAGTTTGTGCACTCCAGATATTTGTATTCAGAAAAACAGAATAACAGAATTGGAAGGGACTTTGGAGGTCTTCTAGTCCAACCCTCTGCTTAAGCAGAAACCCTATATCAGAGGCCCCCAACCTTTTGGGCACCAGGGACTGGTTCCGTGGAGAGAGGTTTTTCCATGGACCGGAGGGGCATAGTTTCTCATGCTGCTTGCAACACGTGTATGGGGCTTCACTTGTTTGCACGGCCCATTTATTGGAATGCTGCAGACCAGTGCCGGTCCACAGACCAGGGGTTGGGGACCCCTGCCCTATACCATTTCAGACAAATATCTTCTTAAAAACCTTTGGTGTTGAGGCACCCGCAATTTCCAGAGACAAATCATTCCACTGATTCTAACAATTAGCTCAGGATTAAACTAGCTTTTCCTGCCCTATTACATGGAAAACTCAACAGGAAAACATTTTAATCATATTTAGTTGCTTTTGTTGTAACAGAAAAATACACAAATACAAACCTATTTCTGCTCCCAAATGTGAGTCCTTAATAGATCCTGCAGAGGATACAACTGCACATCGGCCCAGCTTGCCCAGTTCCACGCTGATATTTGTCTTAGGCAGGTATGTCTCCCATTCAGGTGTATTAAAAGGGGCATCAGATGCAGTTATCATCCTAAAGTCTACTTTTTTCTGAAGTTGGCACAACATTTGTTCCGGGCTGAGTATAGCAGTATTCTTTGGTCCAGTGTATTTCACATGATATTTGTTCAGGTTTAAGTAATGCTTTCTTTCCATTTGCAGTTTATGGCTAAGAATTTGGGAAGAACTATACTTGTTCCAGACTTTGATTTCCTTGGGCTTAGGTTCAATATTATTAAATTTAACCTGGGATTTTTCATTAGACAAAGTAACGTTGCCTATGCCGTTGACAGCTTTATTCTGGCCCATTCCTGATTTCGTTTTAATCCATTTCCACAGCTGCAGATGATCAGTTTGGCTTTCTATTTTTATGGACATGTAAATTCCTTTCCGTGTTTCCTTCCATAGACAAACAGTCAGGACCAAAATGAAAATGAGAATGCCGAACACCCATTTTCTAAACAAACTGACATGAACCATAATGTACAACGCACTAGGTTGGAAAGTTCAGTTTCAGATGTATGGACCTGAAAAATGAAATAATGTAAATATATTAATGGGGAGGGATGGAGTGTTAACAATCTATAGGTAGTGCTTTATAGATGTTGCTTCAGGTACCTCTCCAAAAGGTGATTGCACAGGATTGCCACTGTCTTTAAATAGTTCCCATAACGCAGATCTTAAGAGACTGGCTACAGTATATCTATTTTCTATTAATATAGGGTTTTTTATTCTCCTATGTTGTATTTCATAAAGTAAATAGACAACTCCTTTCTTTTCCTGAGAGATAAATGAGATAAAAGTACAAATATTTGCCCATATATTTAAGAGGAGATGACTGTTTTAGAATTGGATAGAAAAATGCTATGCTGGATGCATTTACTTGATGCAGAACCATTGAACTGCTATGTCCCCAAAGGGGTCCCGACCCACAGGTTGAGAACCACTGCTTTAAAGGCAAGGACCATCTACTCCCACAAAAGCATTTGTAATAGACACAGTCAAATCTCCCACTCTGGGCAAGTATGCTAATAAGGATCAAAGAGCCAAAGAAATAGCTAAAGAACTTGTCAAAAATCCACAGCTTTTAAGAATAAATCTCTTTATCAAAGAAAGGGGAACTTAACAAATGTTAAAGATTCATTGGAAGCCAGCAAAGAATCCCCCACCAAATTAAATCATTCACTGCAAACACAACAGGTTGCTCTCAGAATTTGTATTAATAGACTTAATGTTGGATGTTGGAATACCAGGAGAGCAATCCTAGCTTCCTTAGGTCACCTTCTTCACTGCCAATGTAGGCAGATTGATCTATGTGCTATCAAATGGCTCCCAGATGCCCCAAATTGGATGCCTTTGATGCTATTCAAGATGAGAGCATATCTAGCTTCCTTTTAAATTTTTCCTACCACAGTCTTTTGCGATGAAAAGGTTAAATCTTTAATAGCTAATATGTTAGTTCCCCAGGTCATTGCTTCTTCACTCCCAGCCTTGAGAGAAGAAGAGTGTGGGAATCAGTCAGCCTTACCTGATGAAGATGTTCTCAGCACAGAAGCTGGCCTTAATGCTTTTGGCTCTTTACCACAAACAAGACAATATACTGTTTAAACTAGAAAATATGAAGAAAACCTTGGTCACAATTGCCACAGCTAAACCATTTATAGACCTTGTATCTTCAAACACTGAGCCTCTCACGTTCCTCTCAGCAAATAATGGATTGCCTAAAAATGGCTCTATAAAAAATAAAAGTCTGAATCTTCTTGGGCCAGGAGAAGATCTTGCAGTTGAGAAGGAGTCATTACTTTCATCGGGATATTCCATGGGGACTCCAGCAACAAATCAGGGGATGGGCAGGGATCCTTGCCAACTTCAATGAGCCAGATGCAGCATGATTTAACATCTCTTTGCCCAACATCTCTGGAGAAGCCCCCCCTCAAGATTTTAGGGACACTGAGTTCTATACAGCTGTTACTCTAACAACTGTGTGAACTCATCATACAAAATAGTATCAAAGCAGAAACAAGTTGTTAAATGGTGTCAATGTCATCCACTACAAAGAAGACCCCCCCAAGAGCTGATGTAGGGCATACATGAGTCAAGTCATCCTTTGGAGGAGGTCATAATGGCTGCTGATGACCTCCTAGCTCAATATAGTAACCTCACAGCTTCCTCTTGTCAAAACCATATCTCCTCATGGACTTCAAAAGAGTATCCTTTTTCCCTTCTAACCTGGAATATCACTAGCTGGTCAGTCCCATCAAAAGACCAACTTTTTTTTGACTATATATCACAATTTGATGTCCTCTTTCTACAAGAAACCTAGATCTCTTCAGAGGTGGAGTTAGATGGCTACTGGGTTAACTCTACCCCAGCTCCCCCGAGCAAGGTGGGTGGGAAATCTAAAGGTGGTATAGTGATCCTAGTTAGCACAGCTTTGCAATTTAAATGTGTCTCATTGCCTTCTCTACAACCCTAACTTTGACAATCTAAAGAGTGGATAGGTTTTCCTATAACGCTCTCATCTACACGTCCAAAGCTTGCAATTCCTGTATCTTGTCATTCAGAGGAAGGAAAATATACATGGTACGTCCCCTGTGAATAATGAAAGTAATTTCCTCCATCTTCATGTACAACCAGTAAAAATAGAAGTGTTTCCGGCTTCCTTTGCTCTCCCTGTAAGCTCTTGCAATAAGCTTGTTCTCTGGGGAACTTATTTCCTTCTAAGTCCTTTATAGAGCCTCCAATAAGATATGGCTCAGGTCAGGTTGTCTTCGAGACCTCCTTCTACCACATAGCTCCCAAACACCGGTAAGATCCCATAGAGTTGGTCTCCTCCGGTTCCCGTCAGCTAAACAATGCTGGTGGGCCCGCGGGGGAGGGCCTTCTCTGTGGCTGCCCCAGCTCTCTGGAACCAGTTACCTCCTGAGGTCTGGACCACCCCCACCCTATTGGCCTTCCGAAAAGCGGTGAAGACCTGGTTTTTCCAGCAGTCCTGGGGCTGCTGATCTTGCTGTTGCGATCTTGTGAGATCCGGCCACAAATGGTGTGAATGGGTTTTAATGTTTTAATGTTTAAATGTTTTTATAATGGTTTTTTAAAATGCATTGTAAGCTGCCCTGAGTCTCCGGAGAAAGGCGGCATATAAATTGAAATAATAATAATAATAATAATAATAATAATAATAATAATAATAATAATTCAAATGGTAGAAGATACTCAGTGAAGTGATACTTGTAGTGATACTCAGTATTCTGCCTTTTATGAACAACCATCAACAGTAAAGAAATATACTGCAAATCAGCCGACGGTAGGGTAGCAATAAACCTCTTGGAAAGGATATTCATGTTTCATGATGTGTCTACACCTACAAAGTATTAAATATCTGAATCTTTAGCAGATTTACTGAGGCGAGTTCAATGTTCAACTCAACGTTTATTCAGTAACACAATACACGAACAACATTCCCGCGTTTGACAGCTCCTTATATACCGGCTGCCAAAACCCTGGTAACCAATCAGAACAGTTTCAACTTTCCTGCTTGTCGCTAGGGGGAGCCGACTAGCGACTATGCTCAGTATGTAACACCCCTTCCCACCAAGCTTGCGCATGCATAATCATTTAAATACGCAGGCCGACGCCTAATCCACCCCGATCGTCGGGGTACCGATGACAGCGCTATGTCCCCTAAGGGGAGAGAACCCGCCTCATCTTCCCTAGCTGTGGGTGCCTCTGGGCTATTCCCTCCTGTCAGTACATCGGCCTCCCTGGTGTCCGGTAAGTGTGGAGTGTTATGTTCGTCAGGTGTGGGAATGGGATTTGGCTGGGTGGGCTCTTCGGCGGGCTGTTCTATTTGAACTTTGGGTGGTTGGTCTGGATTTGGGACTCTTGTGCGCAGTTGGTCCCAGGTCCTACCCTGACCCATATCAACACGGTACGAGCAAGGGCCAGCAACGGCCCCGATCTTCCCTGGGAGCCACAATGGTTGTCCAGCGTAATTCCGGGCATATACTAGATCACCTATTTGGAAGGCCTTATGCCAACTCCTGGACTCAATGGGCTTGGTCGGGTAATGTTGGGGGTGTATACAGTCTAGCGCTGTGCGCAATCTCCGTCCCATGAGTAGCTCCGCCGGGGTCTTATTTGTGGTTTGGCATGGCGTGGTGTGTTGAGTGAACAGGTAGTTGTCCACTCGCTCCTGCCATCCCCCAGGACCCAACCGCAGTAACGCTTCTTTGGCTGATCTTACAGCCCTCTCAGCACATCCGTTACTAGACGGATGGAACGGGGCTATCAAGCAGTGCCAGATACCATGCGCTGCTAGGAATGTTTCGAAGGAAGCGGCCGTAAATTGGGGCCCGTTGTCGGACACCATTAAGTCGGGCAACCCGTGCGTAGCAAACAGCCGTCGGAGGGCCTTAATTACAGCTTCGGCTGTGATGGAATGCATCAAGACCACCTCGACCCATTTAGAAAATGCATCCACCAAAATTAGGAATGACTGCCCATGGAGTGGGCCCGCAATATCAATGTGCAAACGAGACCAGGGGGCCCTCGGCTCGTCCCACTCCCTTGGGGACTCTCTAGGTGGCATTGGGCGACTATCCTGGCACTGAGGGCAATTGGCAACCCACGCCGAAATGTCCTTATCTAGATGTGGCCACCACATGTAACATCGACCCAGGGCTTTCATACGGACAATGCCCGGGTGACCCTGATGGAGTTGCGATAACATTGAGCGCCGTAAAGGGGTTGGTACCACCACCTGATGCCCCCACAATAAACAGCCATTCTGGGTCGACAATTCGAGTTGCCTGTCCGCAAACGGTTTCAGTTCCTCGGAGTATGGACCTGGCGGCCAGCCCCTCGCCATCCAGTCGAGGACACAGGAAAGCACAGCGTCCTTGGCAGATAAATGGGCGATGTCCAATGCAGTGACAGGCAAAGGCGCGTTGTCAATCAAACAGACAGATGAGGCAGGAACAGGATCAGCCAGTAAAGCAGGTAGGGGGCAGCGGCTTAAAGCGTCCGCGTGAGCGAGAGCCTTGCCCGGACGATGTACCAAGGTATAAGAGTAAGCAGACAGGAAAGTGGAATAATGGGTCATCCGGGGCGGTAAAATTAACGGCGCTTGACGGTCACCGGCAAGGATCCCGAGCAGTAGCTTGTGATCGGTGACTAATAGGAATGATCGGCCGTAGAGATAGTGGTGGAAACGCCGAACTCCTGCGACAATAGCTAACGCTTCCCGGTCAAGTTGCGAGTAGTTGCGTTCAGCAGGGCCGAGAGTACGGGAAAAATAAGCAATGGGAACCCTCGGCCGCTTGGCAATTGGTGGCTCAAGACAGCGCCTACCCCGAACGGGGAGGCATCACAGGCTAATACTATAGGCAAATGGTCAGAGAACTGGGCCAACACAGAGTTAGATATAAGGAGCCGTTTGACGGCAGTGAATGCGGCGGCTTCTTTCTTACCCCAAATCCACGGGGCCCCTCAGTCTAACAGGCGGTGCAATGGCTTGGCAACAGAC